GGGTGCTGCTTCAAGAGGTGGCTGAGGGGCCTGCCTCATTCTCACACAGAGCATCTCTGTCAGGTCTGAGAGTTGATTACTCCCTGGCTTGCTGTGAACACAGATCAAGGTAAGGAATGGGAATGGGGGTGTCATCTGCTTTATCCACACAGCCTCTACACAGGGGCAGGGTTTATAGGCTAAGGCAGGTTTCCTAGTGCTTCAGTCCTACCACCCACTCTTTGTCCCAACTTTCTCTGTCCATAGTGAACTCTCCAGAAAGGGAAAGCAAGCCTGCCTAAGACAGCCAGAACCATGTAGTCATCTCCGCTCCCCTTGTCAGCACCAGTGGTGGCCCACCAGACAATGCTGACAGGTGCCTGTGTCCATGGAATATAGACTCTCTAAGGGCAGGAACCATGGGAGAAAGGACAACCTTATAGCCATTTTGCCATGTCAGAGCCCTGCCTCCTGTCCTTGCCAGCCATAAACCTTGGCCAGCCACTTAGTAACTCCAAACCTTGGTTTCCCATCTGTAAAATGGGGATTGTAATACCTGCCTCGAAAAATTTGAGATCAATTTTGTTAATGTCTAGTTCAGTGCTCCATAAACTTTTTTTAATGCATGTGAACTTGTTCAAATTAAATCTCAGGACACCAATCTATAAAACAGTGCACTGGAAGCCAAAATGGAGGGCCCTACGACTCCTTCACCAAATCCTGGGGGGTTCAGGGAGTCAAGTGTGAAAAGATCTGGACCCAACTCTGACAGCCAACTCTTAAGTCAACCAGAAATGCTACAGCAGTAAGAGGAGATGTAGATTGACACATTGGCTGGGTCTATCTCCAGAGGAGGCAGAGGTGCACATGTAGAGGGGGAATGCACCACGCATAGGAGAACTCTGGGGGCTCTAAGAGGGAGGAGCTGTTACCAGAGGCCCACTATCTCATCCGTGAGCACCCATTCTGACTTCCTACAGGAGGTGAGATGAGGAAATGAGAGACCCCTGTGCCATGGCTGCCTCTCACCCAGTAAACAGACTTGTTCTCCATTCTTCACACAAAATGCCTTGCCTCCTCATGTACCTACCAGCTAAATTCCTAAATGTTTGACTATCAAAATCTGGCTTTCCATTTGGATTCACATTGTCAACCGACTGGAAGTCTTCTGTGATTGCCCTCAGCCAAAAATAGCATTTCCTTCCTTTGACCTCCTCTAGCGCACAGAGCAGCAGTTAAGAGCTTGGGACTCAGTTTCTCTATCTGTAAGATGAGAATGTGAGGACTAAGTGAGATGATCCATGTAAAACCCTAGCACAGTCTTGGCACACAGTAGGCACTCAATAAATGTTAGCTATTCATTTTAATGCTGCGGTCTCTCCCCTGCCCCACAGCTCCTTCAGGCTGTGGCACACAGTAGGTGTCCACTGAATGCTTACCCAGGTGACCAGCAGGTGGCCCCACACCCCAATTAACCTCTCTGCCAGCTCCTCTGAGCCCCAGGGAACTGGTTCCCTTGAGTCACCAGCTGCCTTCTCCTCCTGGTCAGGGGACACAGAGGAGGTAGAACTGGCAGAGTGCCAGGCAGCTTAGCGCATCACCTAGCAGCTTAGCGCAGACACTTGCGCTGTGCTGGTGACCAAGGCCTTTGGGCTTGGCCACCTTTCTCCATCTTCACTGCAGCCCTGCCCCATCCTTATGAGGATCACTCTAACAGGTAAGAAAGCTGATATCTGGAAAAATGCATGATCCACCTGAACATAGAGCATTTCTCACAATCCATCAACTTGCAGTGATAATGTCTGTCAAAGGTGCTGGAATAATCTGGTCCTGTTAATTCAGCGTTTCATTTTACTAATGGGCAACTGTAAAAATAATAACTGCCTTGCTCAAGGCTTCATATAAACCAAGCTCAGGTCTCCTGGCTCTAGACACCCTACTCCATCCCACACACAGCAGGGGGAGGTGGGCTTGCCAGACCCTTCCTTGCCTGCTAGTTAAGCATGCTGGCTGCTCAGCAGGTCAAAAGGAAGAATTTTACCCTGCCAGGTTTGTGGGCAGCTGTGAGAACACACTAGGGATGCAAAGGCTAGGCCCAAAGCAGTCAGGCCCAAATCAGTCAGGCCCAAGGCAGCTAGGTCTGGAGACAGCCACACATGGCCTATCTCCCCCGCCCTCCCTATCCCGGCCAGAAAGAAAGTTTCAAGCAGGCTTGGAAGCACTGAGACGCCTGCAGAGGCTGTAGCAGGCTGCATTTTGAGGCTCAATTGTGACACGGCAGTGGAGGGGCTGAATTGAGGGCAGAGAGGGGCTGGTGTAGAATAGCAATGAGCCAGGTTGTTGGAAGCAAGCCAGCATCAGGTTCAGAGGACAGAATCAGGGCTGTTGGCCAGGTCAGGGGGAACATCACTGGGAAGAGATGTCTCACACACACAAACACACACACACACACACATCTATCTTTCACGGAATTTTTTTTTTTTTTTTGAGACGGAGTCTCACTGTGTCGCCCAGGCTGGAGTACAATGGCATGATCTTGGCTCACTGCAACCTCTGCCTCCGGGGTTCAATGGATTCTCCTAGCTAAGCCTCCCGAGTAGCTGGGACTACACTCATGTGCCACCACGCACCACTAATTTTTGTATTTTTAGTAGAGACAGGGTTTCACAATGTTGGCCAGAATGGTCTCGATCCCTTGACCTTGTGATCTGCCTATCTCGGCCTCCCAAAATGCTGGGATTACAGGTATGAGCCACTGCACCCAGCCTTTTTTTTTTTTTTTTAAGAGACAGAATCTTGCTTTGTTGCCCAGACTGGAATGCAGTGGCACAATCATGGCTCACTGTAACTTCGAGCTCCTGGGCTCAAGCTATCCTGCCTAGGCCTCCCAAGTAGCTTCTTAGGAAATTCTTTACCAAAAGCTGCCAGGAAAGCTATCATAGAGCTCGTGCAAATGCCTGTGTGTCTGGACTCGCTGATGAGAACGAGGGGCCACTTGGCTTCTTAGCTCACCTAAATCTAGCTGATTGTCAGAGATTTGCTCCCATTTCACAGACAGCCACACTGAGGCCCAAAAAAAGTATGACTTGGTCAGGCATCCAGCCTCCCGGTCCTGGCTTGTAAGAGCAACACCTGATGCTGGAGATCATGGAGCCAGGCCCTGGGATGGGCTTGCCGGTGTCCCAGGCTCCTCATGAGCTCTTGAGAAGTGGCCAAACAGATGTGGGAGATAATGGGGCAATCCTCTGGGGCACCCCTCCCCACCTAGTTACAGGAAGGGCTTTACCCCCTCCCCCACAACAGCAAGGGGCCAATGTGACCAATAAGAATCTTCCCCTGAAACTGACATGTGGACACCTGTGCAGATGACCTCCCCAGCTAGGACTTCCACAGTTCTAGTTTTGCCTGTGGAGAAGGCAAAAAAAAAAAAAAAGGCCAGTGCAGGGAGAGGATCAAGGCCAGCCCCAGGGAGAAGCACAGACTGGCAGAGACAAATGGCAGATGGAGTCCTAGAGCATGGAATCCCTCTGTTCCCGAGGCCCTGCTCCTGTACTTCTGCCTGCAACCCTGTAACCTATCAGGCATCCTTCTCAGCACTGGGATGCATACATTCTCTCTTTGACTTAAACTGCCCCATGACACCTCCTTCTCCTGGAGCCATGTTCTTCCATCACAGACCACATCAAGACCTTGATTCAACATTTTCAACGTGTTATGTTTTCACCTTCTCCGTCATAAATGTAAACACCTTGCGGTGAGCCCCCTGTCTGAAGTTCTCACTGTAGCCTTCCTTGTACCCAGCATAGCTCTCAGGTACTGGATGCTTGGCAGCCAAGCAAGAGAGGCCATCTCTGCCTCCACAGCTATGTGACTAGACAGCCTACATCTACCTTTGTGTCTGGCCAGCATTCCTCCAGACACGGAGTACACTAGGAAAGCTAGGCTGGACCACAGTCTCCATGGGATCTCTTGAACTTATCTGGTCACTCTCCTGGAAGCCCAGAACTGGAACTGAAGCCCAGGAGGCCCATATGATGCTGCTCTAGGGAGCAGGCCCTTGGAAATAAAACCCCATGATTTTCTGGACAGAAAGTTACTGAGGTAGATTTGGGGCTGCTTTTTCCTCTAGAGACTTCTAGATACTCTAGATGTAACTCTAGATAGTTCTCTCCTTCCTGATGGCTAAGGATGTTGGAGTAGCTAATGGGTGTGGGGCACAAGCCATGCACCTGGCACCTCACTAAGTATTTCACACACATCATCTGCTCAAACCCCCCACATGACTCCATGAGATGGGCACTATCATCACTAGGACACAGCTGAGGAAACTGAAGCCAAGAAAGCTACCCAAGGTCACCAGGCTGGGCATCTCAAGCCTGTTTGCCTGTCCCCTGCCTTCCAGCATCTCTGCACCCTCCCCCATGCCCTAAGGGAAGAGGGGCGGAGGAGCCAGCACTGCAGGCAGCAGATGAGCTCTTGGAAAACTGGGAGGTTTCAAGATAGGAGCTGGAGGAGAAATGCCAGTTAGAGCCCTCCTTGAGGCTGCCCGCAAGAGCTCCTAAGGGGTGAGAGTGCTCTGTTACTAGAGTAGTCAAAAGACAGTCTTGCAGCATCCCACCCCCTCCCCTCCTCGATATTTTCACTGCCAAATGAAATCTGGCAGCTTCTGAAAATAGCTCAGTGCTGCAGCAGGCACTCTGCCCGCCCTTCAGCAGGCTGGCACACAGCTGGGGGTGGCCACTGTGGGCAGACACTGGCACACACAGGGCCGGGGGTAGGTGTCACACACACTGCACAGGGGCGGCACAGAGCTGGGAGGTATGTGGCAGCTGCCATCCCTCAGCTCCTCTGACCTTTCTATGCCTAGCAAGGACTCAGTGGCCTTGGAATTAGCATGGCATGCTTACCAGGCCTGAAGCACCCCCTCCAACTGGGGCAAAATCACTAGAGAATGTGAGAAGCTGCCCTTGGGCCACTTTTGTCCACCCCTGTAGACAAAGAGTAAACCAGGAGCCAAGAGGAAATGATGAAATGGTGTTTATTACGATCTGGATGTAAAATCCAGCAGTGTTGTCCTATCTGACATGGTCTAGGGTTTCCCAGCCAGTGAGACAGGGGCCAGGAAGGAACTAGGCTGGGTGTCAGGCACTTGTCAGGCAGTATTAGGCACTTGGCACCCTGAGGCTACCATGATGGGGTGGGGCTGGGTAAGCCTTGATCAGCCAGGCAGGTGTCCCTGCCCCTACTCAGGCCCAAGCCAGGACCAGACTTCTGAGCAGAGCTCGGTCACATTCCCCAACCTCAGGTCTGACCCAGAGTAAAGAAAGAGACCTCAGGTTAATGGGAAGCCTCTTTAGCCCTGCTCCCAACCAGCCACTTTCACACAAGTACACCAAAATGTAGCCCCTGACATCAACAGAATGGGTCTTTCCTGCCTGAGATCTGGTGAGCAGGTGGGTACAGGGGAAGTATACTGGCTTTTGTCACAGTGACATTTTCCAAAGTGGAAAAAGGTTAAAAATATCCCTCACCTTAAGTTGAGATGAAAAGCCACCCTTTGGGGTAAAGAGTAGTGACGGGATGGCAAGGCCCAGGGATTCCCTCAGGAGAGAGCGCTGAGTGCCGTCCGGGCTGGGGATGCAGCAAGGCAGGGCTGGACTGCACAGGGAGACAGGCAGACTAGCCCCTGCAGCCTCAGGGAGCCCAAGGAGGAGACTGAGGGGGCAGCCAGTGTGCGAGAAACCAGCCTCCCCAGTAAGGCAGAGGTGAACCTTGGATTGCCCTTCTTCCCTTATTCGCTCATTCAGCATTCACAGACAGCAATGTGGTCCCTGGTCACCATGACAACCAATGGCCAATGCCTTTCTCAAGGCCAGGCCCATCTGCCCACCCCGCAGGGGGATGTCTCCGTGGAAGACGTGGAAGATGGGAAGTTCAGCCACAACTCCCAGTGGCCTAGAAGGCTAAGGCCATGTATCAGGGCAGGACAGTGCAGAGGCCTCACTCGGGCCACCCTGGCTAAAGGTGCTGCTGCAGCAGCAGGCAGCTTCCAGGCCATAGGCCCTGCCCCTCTCTAGGGCTTGAGCCTGGGCCAGAGATCTGAAGGAGGTTTAGGGTCAGGGTCCTCCATCCTGAAGTTCCAAGTGACACATTAAAACACAACAAAATCCTTTTGTTAAAGGAATGACCCTGGGCCCTCCTGGCCGGGGCCTCAGCACACTCCAGTCTGCCATGCAGGCTCAGAGGCCCGGCTCCTCCAAGTCCCCATCAACTACTGGTTGTTGCAGCCTTGTGTGGCAGAGGAGCTGCCTGCCTGCTTTTTCCTCCTCTTGTTGAGGAGCCGGTTGTTAGAGGTCTTCAGGTCCTTGATCTTCACCTGGTCGTAGTCTACCCGCATAGTGGCCAAAGCACTGGTCATCTCCTCCTGGGGACAGACAAGATTAGGGGGGCACTAAGAGATCAGGATGTACTGACCTTTGGAGTTATCACCCCCTGCCTGGGCAGCCTCTTAACACATCAGTGACAGGCTGTGCTGCCTTTGTGCCTGCTGTGTGCCCAGCACTGGGACAAGCCGTTTGCATCACATGATCCTCACTGCAGTACTCTGTGGTAGACACTAAGCTTATTCACTAAGGCACAAAAGGATAGTGATTCCCTGGGACCACACAAAGGGTAAGTGGGATAGTGAACTAAACCAGTTCCACCACAGAACCACTAGACCTGCAGACAACACCATCTCGCTAGGTAAGCAGCGCACTGGGGCCTGGAGATTGTACTGCTGGAGCTGCTACCCCATGTGTTCAAACGTGGCCTCTGCTGGGTCTAAAACCAGGCTGACCACCCTCCCAAATGTTTTGGTTATGAGGTTGTCATCCAAGCTCGGTACCAAAGCCCCATTCACTGAGGAAGTGAGCCAGGAGCAGCACATTGAATGGAGTAGTGTGGCCCAGTCCTTGGAGTGCCATGGTTGGACCACTGCGACAGTCACTGACACCCAGTGCTCCAGGCATAGAAAGGGCCCAAAGACCCCAGACCCTGGGTAGCTACAACCCTGAAGTCCCTTTTGCCAAAATCCTGGAACCTGCAGTAAGAGACAGAGACTGAGGCGGAGCCCACCCACCTTGACTTCATCCCAATGATCTTTGTCCTCCTGCAGCACTCGGGCCGTGTGGAGTGGGGTCTGCGGCACCACCATCGATTGCTGGAAAAAGTCCCACGCCCATGGATTAGAAACTGGAGGCACCTGGGATAGCACTGGCTTCCCCTACTCCACCCCCTTCTCCCAGTCTCATATGGGAAAACTAAGGCTCAGAGCAGGGAAGAAGCCTCATTGGGGCAGTGGCAAAGCCAGGTTGTAGGTGAGGCCCTACTATCTACCTATGTGCATTGGCCCATTCCAACCCTGTATCAGGGCCTCAAGGCAGAGCCACCACCCTCCTGCCCTGCAGCCCCGCTCCTGCTGGACACCCTGCCTGCTGTGGGAGGAGGAGGGGCTCACGTTGATCCAGGGATGGTTCATGAACTGAGTGATGGTCAGCCTCTCTGTGGGGTCTGTCTTCAGGAGGAGGCGGATCAGCTGCTTGGCTAGGGAGGCCAAGGGAAGAGAGGGGAGAGGTAAGGTTGCAGAATTCCTCAGAGCCGGTCCCCCACCCTTCCCCACAGGCCACATGCTCTGCTGGGACAAGGGCTGCATGTGCTCCCAAATTCCCAACCCACAGAAATAGTGAGCTAACAACTATTTCTTGTTTTAAAGCACTAAGTGTTCAGGATAATTTGTTAAGAAGCCGTAGATAACTCATACAGGAGAGCCTGGTTTGTGGTCCTCAGAGGGGAGAATATGAATGAGGAGTAGGGGTCAGAATTTTAAGGAGGCAAGTTTTGGGCCTGTTTGGCAGATGTAGAAACTGAGGCTCAAGAAGCTTAGGGGACTTGCCTAGGGTCCCATAGCTGGGAAGAGGGGGAGCCAGGATTTGAACACAGGTCAGTTTGACACCAAAGATTTCCCAGAATGAAAGCCACAGGGGCCAGGTAAGGCAGGCCGGGGCAGAGAGGTTCACTCACCATCCTCAGAGACCTCTGACCACTCAGGATTGGGGAAACCATACTGGCCCAGGCGGATCCTCCTCTTCATCCCTGGGGAGATGGCCTGGCCCGTGTTGGAGTAGAAGGGTGGGAAGCCACAAAGGCTGGGGGAAGGGGGAAGTCATTTGGCATAGGGTAGGGGCAGTGGCAGGGTGAACCCATTTCCCCTCAAAAGCCCCTGACTGGGGAGAAAGGCAACCAGACACCATGACAATACAGCCCTCCGGACTCCCAGGCACATCCCAGGAATGCCATCTGCCCTTGGCATGGGGAGACCCTCAGGTACCTAAAGGAGTGGTATCCCATGACCAAAAGGGAAGGGCAGCCTGCATGAGGAGTGACACATACAAACCCCTCACCAAGGACATAGGGGTAGGGGACAGAAATGGTCCTGAGGGCTCAAAGTGGGGGTGAGGGCAGGAGATGGAGGCAGGGGGTGGGGAAGGTACTCACAGGATATACATAATGACACCCAGGGACCACATGTCGCATGACTTGTCATACTTCTCTGGACCCAGGACCTCAGGGGCTGCCAGGGCAGAAGGACAGCAGGGCTTTCAGCCTTAAGGGTCTTGGAGCCCAGGCAGGAGCCTAAAGCTTGGGCAAGGTGGGGAAGAGGTGCCTGGGTTGGGAAGTAGGACAGAGCAGACTGGCGTCTGGCACCTTTTGGAAAGGCAGCATGGGTGTGAAGTTGCAGGAGGAGAAAGCTCCCAGAGAAAAACAACCACTTTCAGACACACCCCCAGCTCCCCTGGGCCTGAGCCCCTCTGCCAGTCTCAACCTTGGTGAGAGAAGAGAAAAGAAGGCCAGTCTGGGCCTAATGGGAAACTGCTGTGGGTGAGAGGGCCTTGGCCTGCCAGCCGTTCTGTGTTCCTTGCCTCCCTGAATGCACAGCCTAGGTGACAGGCAAGGAGGAACCAGGGCAGGGCTCTGCATTCCATCATTGGCTTGGCTACCAATCCATGGGGCCTTTGTCTTCCCTGTGCAATGAGGTGAGTAAGCTAGAAGATTTCTAAGTTAAAATACTGCAAAACACATCCTGGTTAACAGAGTGCCATTTAAACTGTCTCAGGGAGCTTCCCACCGCTTCAGCAGCCCTCTAGGAAGACGTGTTCTAAGGGAGAAAAGCCCTTTGTCATCACCCCACTCTCAGGTTAGGGGGCAGTTTTGGCAAGGAGCTTTTTCAGATCTGGGCGTTGCCCACTTGAAGAAGGGCCGGGAACTTTTCCAGGAAGCATGAGTATGTACACACTTCCAAGCCCTGGCTTAGGCGACCCTCTCTCACAAGGCAGGTGACTGGTACCCTTTGTCCCTCCAATGTAGGAAGAAATGCCTGCCCACTTTCTGAATATGAATCCTAGGAAGACAAAAACTAGAGAAAAACAACCGCAGTTGGGCTCCGTCCCGAGCTGATGGCAGCCTTTTATCACATATATATTTAGAGCTGCTGTGATGTCATTCAGCTCACAGGCCACAGCCAGAATTTTCCTGGATCTATTTTCAAAAGCAGAAGCTGAAGTTTGGGAGAATATTTTTGCAGCCTCCGGACCCCCACGTCACCCGCCTCCATGCAGACAGAATTCTCCCCCTCCCTCCTTGCTGGGCTTTAACCCTTTGGTTTCTGCAACCCACTAGCTACCCCACAATACAGCTGTATAAGTTGGGGTGGTGAGTTACAAATCATGTCCCAAGGACTCACCCACATAATAGGGAGTATAGCAGGGTGTCTGCAGGGCATTTTGGGTGGTCTCCTTAGCAAAGCCAAAATCGGTGAGCTTAAGTACTGCGTCTTTCTCCTTAGATGTGTAGAGCAGGTTTTCAGGCTAGGCCAGGAAAAGAAAACATTGGTTTGGAGTTAGGAACCAGGCAGGGGCAGAGTCCCAAGGTGATCTTCAGCCAGACTCCCCAACTCCAGCCCAGTACAGAAGGAGCCAGGTCCATTTATAAAAAGACCTGGGCCTTGCCCACCAATATGGGCCAAATATAGAGAAAACCAAGGTTCTACCTTCATTCACAAAAGGGAAAGCCAAGGCAGGTGTTCAGCCAAGGCTGTTAATGACCAAGTGCCATAGAGAGCCTAGGGGCAGGAACTTCTGATTCTGAGTTGGTGACACTGCCATGAAATGCCAGAGCAGGGGTGCTAGGAGAACGTAGCCTGCTCATAAGCTAGTGTTTCCAAGCACATGTCCCATACCCAGCCTAGAGTGAAGCCTACAGGGCCAGAAGGACAGCCCCATTGAGGTTGCTCAGGTGAGAATGCCTGGGTTGCTCAGACCCCAGGAGCTGCACGGAGGCAATCTTCCTGTGTCCCGGGAGTAGCCAGGGGCCTGGCAGATGAGGGCAGTGGGGAGGTCTGTCCCTGAAACTGGTTTTTAGTGAATGGGTAGGATGTAGGCCCATGGAGAGAAGCAGAAGAGACCCCCAAGCAGAGTGGGGTAGAAGGATGGGGTGCTGGATAGAGCTGTCATTTAGAACCAATAGAAGCTATTTCTCAGGTTCCATCTGAGAAGATCTGACCTTCTCAATTGTGATAAAAACAGAAAAGCAGTTTTAGTTTATCCAAGGGAATCTCCTCTGCAGAAGGCTTTTCTCTCTTTGGGAAAATAAAAGAAGCCAGGGTCCAAGTAAAGCAAAGATTCAGAAGGTATGTCTGTCTGTGGCTCCACATGTATCCAGAATCAAAGAATAACTGTGCAGCGCGGGGTACTCAGCCAGAGGGAGGACCTGATGCAGCAGCTGGAACCTCAGCTTGCCTCTGTCCAGTCTGAGGAAGAAATAAGCTAAGGAGGGTAATGTTCAAGGCTTGGGGCAGAGGGCCCAGGAGGAACAGACTCTGCTCTGATCGTGCTTACGTAGGCTGATGTGTGCACGTGCATGTGTGTGTTGTACATGCAGAGCTGCCTCGGTTTGCATTTCATCCATCTGATCCAGATGACCTCTAAGACCCAGTTTTCTCAGGATAGAAAATTTGGAGAGCTGAGCTTCCAGCTTCAAGACTGGAAGGTGACCCAACAACTAGCACTACCTCCTCCAGTGCCTTCCTTCCTCCAGTGCCCAGAAAATGGCTTCTTTCCCTCAAAATACTGGTATTAGAGGGCCTGATCTGTCAAAACTAAGGCTGTGACTTCACAAAAGCCCCAACGGGGCCAGGCACGGTGGCTCACGCCTGTAATCCCAACACTTTAGGAGGTTGAGGGGGGTGGGCGGATCACCTGTGCTCAGGAGTTCAAGACCATCCTGGCCAACATGGAGAAACCCTGTCTCTACTAAAAATACAAAATTAGCCAGCTGTGGTGGTGTGCACCTATAGCCCCAGCTATTTCGGAGGCTGAGGTAGGAGAATCGCTTTAACCCAGGAAGCAGAAGCTGCAGTGAACCAAGATTGCACCACTGCACTCCAGCCTGGGTAACAGAGTGAGACTCCATCTAATAAAAAAAAAAAAAACAACGGCATCCGGCAGCCACTGCCTGAGGCCTGGCACATTGTGTATACACAAAATTTTTTGCTGAACAAGTGAACAAATGAATGAATGAATCCCAGTGCAACAACAACAGAGCCCTGGGCAAGTCACTTAATCTTTCTCTGAGCCTTGTTTTCCTCATCTGTAAAATGGGTAATGGCATTTATCCCACAAGTCTGGGTCAGAATGAAATGAGATGCTTGTCAGAACCTGCTGGCTTGAGGCAGGCACTCAGTTATTCTTATTACTATTGGGATTACTCAGTGTTTGAAGGAAACAAGGACACCCATCTGGTGAGAACAGAATGAGTATGCTGAAACTAGAGAAGAGGCTGAGAAGAGCAGTCCGGAACACATAGCAGAGGCTTTGAATGTGACTAAGAAGCCTAGCCTGCATCCAGTGGGTTCTGGATGCCACCAGGGATTGTGGAGTGGGATAGTATCCTCTTCCCTGGGCCCCCAACCTGGTTCCTGGAGCCTCACCTTGACATCTCGGTGGGCGATGTTATGGCTGTGCAGAAACTGGATGGCAGTGCCGATATCCCGCATTATCTCTGCAGCTTCTGCAGAAACAGACAGGGGAGGAGGGGGTCAGTGATGCCAGTCAAAGGTCAAGCTCTCACCCTATCATCCCTCCCAGACACAGTCTAGCGCCTGATCAGCAAAAGACAAGAAGACAGTGACAGCATTCCTGCTACCCAAGATCTCTATCCTGGACCCCCACCCCAGACACCCCAGTTTCCTGCAAGAATACCCTCAACCCATCTAAATCTCTTTCATCAGTCCGGAGCTACTTCTCCCCAGCTCAACTCAAGGCAACACTTCCATCCCAAAGCCACAGAGTCCATCTTCAACAAAGTGTCCCAGATTCAGAGAGTCCCTTGTGGGGATGGACGTTGAGTCCCACCCTTTCTTGTTCAGTTGGGAAGACTGAGGCACAGAGAGGGACAGGGTCTTGCCTAGCATCACACACAACTCTCTGGTCCATACCTCTCACCCTGAATCCTCCTGCTGGTCCAGCTACATGCACATACCTCTCTCAGTGAAAGCCTGGTCGCCACGCTCCTGAATCCTGCTGAACAACTCACCACCTTCCATGCTGTAAAAGAGGTGATATAAGCAGAGATGAGGGGGAAATTGCATATCATCCTATCCCTGCCCCTGCCCTGAATCATAGGCCCAGGCTTCAGGCCCTACCACACTGCTCCTCCCTTACTAAACAGCCTCTGTCAGCCTCCCTGTCCCTTGGAGAATCTGGTACATGGCGGATTGTCAGCTTGTCAGCTTGGGTGGGCTGAACTGAACTCTTGGAACTAGAAGAGAGTGGTGGGCTCTGATCCCTGCCAAGAAGCCTGTGTGTTCCCAGTGGCACTGCCCCTACCTGACTGTGAGACCTTGGGTACTCCCAATCCCTTTCAAGTCTCTATTTCCCAAATGTGGGATGAGATGTTAATTATCATCATATAGCCACTGTTCTCTGGGCAACTATTGTGTGCCATGCCCTGGGATCCATGTTTTATGAGCACTGCTGTGTGATCTTGGGCTGGTTCTTTCACCTCTCTGTGCCTCAGCTGTCTCTTTTGTATAATAGGGATGACAGCACCAACCCCATAGTCATGAAGATTGAATATGAAATACACATGGGCCACTTAGAATGGAGTCAAGCACAGGGCAAATGCTACATTAAGATCTTGCCCACATTGTCATGCGAGTTACAGAGATTCAGAGAGGTTAAGAGCTGCCCATGGTCACACAACTAGTGGGTAGCAGAGGCAGGATCTGAACCCCAAATCTGAAGAACTGGCTAACTGGTACAGGAAGGGGGGACTTGAAAGGCAGACAGGGAGGAGCTGGAGCCCCAGAGTCTAAGGAATGCTGGTGCTGAGCCACAGTGTTACAGGAATAAGTCCAGAGCGGAGAAGGCCGCTGGCTCCGGGTTCTAGGCTGCAAGCACCCAATTCCTAGTAGGACCATGGGAGCACATACCCAGGTAAAAAGAAGAGAAAGTTGAGGGAAGTGTGTGGGTCCTGTTCTTCCCCAAATCCCCCATCTATCCACATTCAGGGATTGGGATCCTTCTCTAACAGCTCTTCCAGTCCTCCTCACAGGGTGGAAATCACACCCAGGGAGGCCATATTAACCCCTATGGTTTCTTCCCCACCCTTGAGGGAATGTTCTCACAGCCAACTCCATATATCCACAGGCAGGGCCTGCAGCTGCCTGCTCCATTACCCCTCAAGGGCTAGAGAGGCACCCAGATCTGCTACCTGAAAAACAAAGAAAGCCTCTAGAAGCACGGCAGGGAGCCTGGGGGCCACAGGGATGCCAAGGGGGTATGGAGACAAAGTGGGCCAGCATACCATTCCATGATGATGAGGAGACAGCGCTTGCCATGGTGCATGTTCTCATACACATCCAGGATGCGGACAATGTGGGGGCCACCAGAGGCCTGCCAGTGATGGTCCACCTCCTGCCGGGCCTTGGGGCTATCATACAGGAGCTGTGGGTGGGTGGGCATAGAAAGCATCAGGCTCAGAGCCCTCTACCCTCACTTTGCAGACAAAGACATATAAGCTCTGAGGCCTGTGACTTGCCCCAGGTCACGCAGCTTACAAGGGGCAGAATGAGAATTTGAATCCAGGTTTCCTTGACTTGTGGTCCAATGAGGCTCTGGACTTGAGGGTCAGTCCTGGGCTCAAGCAGCTTGGCAGGTAGTTCAAGGAGTCCCTGGGAGGTGGCTGACTGCTTCAAGGAACTTAGAGGCCAAAGAAGCCCTTGCCTCCCTTCTCAGGGGCAGCAAATAAAATGGAAATTGAGTGGGTTTTATAACCCATTCAAATCACAGAGCAGCCAGAAGACACCAAGTCAGGGGCCACACATCCCTTGAGCCTCATTTTTATAGTGAAGATGACAGAGTTGTTCTGTTTCACAGGCTAGGGTTGGAAACTGTACATGTAAATTGTACAGGATGGCACCTGGTACATAGTAAGCCCTTGATGCTTCCCTTGTGATTCTCACCCAGCACATCTGTGAGAAACAAAGTAGAAGGTGCTGGGGAAAGGCTGGGTGGGGGAGAGGGTGCACTAACATGCAAATCTGCTCTACACACCTCAGCATGACCAGGAGAGTGCTGGAATAGGAAGGAAGACTTCCTGCAGGAGGGGTTGAGGCCTGTGTCTGTCAATCTAGCTCCCACAAAGAAACTGGCCCAGAGTGGAAGGAGACAAGGCCACACTCCTGCAGAGGCGAAGGTAATTAAGATTTCAAATTCTCCAGGAGTAGGCGCGAGAACAAAACTGTCACTACCAAGAAAAGTGCTTCTAAAATGAGTTGCTTGGTCATGACCGCCCAGTCAGTCCCCAGCTTCCAAGGTAACTTTGTAGCCTGCCTGGGAGCTGCTATGCAGTATCAGGGCGACAATGTCATCCCACCGTGAGAGAGGTGGGGCCATCTCAAGATGACCTAGCTGCCCAGCCTCCACCCTTATCCCATGCTTACAGACCAATGGTGAGGACCCAGAGGTAGAGACTGGGGGCAGGGAGGACCCTAGTTGAGGGAGATGACAGCCGAGTAGAGTGAGATGTGGGTTTGGGATGGAATTCCTCCAATGACTCGGTGTGACCTCAGGCAAACATTCACAGCTCCAAGCCGCAGCCCACAACTCTGTAAAATGGAGTAATAGAAAAGTCATCCCCACAGGGTGCATCCTAGCAAGGCAAGCATCCGGTGGGCAGGCATCAGGATCCTTGCTCAGGTTAGCTCAGCCCTGGACTGTGGCTGCCAACTAGCACCAGAAATGAACAAGGCCGCCCAGTGGCTCTGCTGTAGGGGGAGAAGGAGAAGTCAACATGCAGGAGGAGATGGCCCAGAATGGGGACAGCAGGGACAAGACACCCCCCAGAAGGGTTGCTCACTCAAGGCCCAGCCAGTGACATTGTGTTTCCTAACGGAGGAGGGCTGGGGACCAGGGCTCGGATCAGCCCTGCTCAGCACCTGTAGGACCCTGGGCTGCCCCAGCCTTAATTTCCTCTTCTGCAGGATGGGGAGAATCAGGCCACTTTACACAGGGCACTGTGTGGGGCAGGCTCTGGGGCCGCACTTTCTACATAAAGGTAACCTGAGGCAGGGCAATGTCCCAGAGAGGGGAGAGGCAGGCAATGGTTTCTTGAGCCTGCTGCCCCTGGCTGTCCCTCTTTTCTGGAGCTGCTCCCCTCAACCCTAGCCTGGGAATACAGATAGTGCATGGAATACAGAGAGTCAGGGGCTGGAAAAGCCCTCCAGCAGCTCTGGGCCCCTGCTCCATTACCCAGAGCAGGCTGGGGGTATGTGTCAAGGCAGCTGCGGGCAGATGTTGCTGCCTGCACACCAAGGACCCTTGCTCACACTGCCCTTGCCTGCCAGAACACCCCTCAGGTCGGTGCCCATACAACTCCCAATCACCAGCTTCTTGCTCAACACTGGGCCCAGAAAGCCCCCACTCGCCTCCACCATGTCCTGGGGAGGCTCTAGCTGGGAGTACCCCAGTCCTCAGCCACAGGAGACAAGATGCACCATCCTCCCTCCCTGCACCTGCTTCCTTCTTTGCCTCCTCCCCCTCCCTCTGCCAGGTCCCCTCCTCCCAAGCCTGACCTGACCATCTTCCTGTCAGGCCTCCCAGGCTGGCTCCCATACCCTCTCCTCACTGCCCGCCTTGTGGCATCTCACTCCCACACCAGAGTCCTCCTCCTCTCTCTTAAAAGCCCAAGCTACAGCTGGAATGCTTTCAGTGAGGTCCTCAGCCCTGCCTCTCCCCTTAGGACTTTAATCTACCTGTGGCCACAGACACTTCCTCACATCTTCCAGATAAATGCCACCTCTTCCCCTAGCACGCTGGGCTTGCCTTTTTTCCCCACTTCACTTCCTGCCACCTCTGGGCCAAAATCACTTTGTTCTGGCCTGAAAAATGTATGAGCTGTTCCCAAACAGGTCTCCCTCCCCAGGTCTGCATCTATGCCTGTGCTACTTCCTGTTGTGTACATTCTTGCCTCATCTTCTCCATTGGGTCAACTCCCTCTTTTTGAGGAAACTTCAGGGCTCAATTCAGATCTCTCCCCCGCCCCGCCGGTCTTTCTCTCTTTCTTTCTATCTTTGGAAAGTCCTCCCAGCACCTTTCATACTGTTTTTGCCTCTGTTCCTCCTTGGAACCAGCTTGGAAGCAGCTTGAGGGCAGAGGAGGGGCAGGTTCACTTGGGGTTCCTGGCTGGGGCCTGGCAGGAAAAACTGGGCTCCTGAGCAAAGGATGGGAGGATGGGCCTGGGACTGGAGGTAGATGGAGGCAGTGAGAGGGAGAGAGGGAGGGAGGGAGGGCCAAGGAGGGGCCAGAGAGCCTTCCAGCCTGGGCCTGCAGCCTGTGCTTCACTGAGGTGGAGAAGCAGGTGGAGCTGCCCTGAGCTGGAGCCTCTCATGGCTTCCTGCCCCACTCAGTCCATATTTAGGAACCCATTTCCCACATGGATTAAAATAGTCCTTCTACAAGTGCCAAAGCCCTGAAAATAGGCATGGGGTGCGGGGAGGGCTGTCCCCAGAAAATATAATAAATGCCCCACTGGCGTCTCTGCAGAGCACAGGAGCCAGAGCCCTCAGCCTGGACCCACGCAGGTCCAGCTGCAAAGAAATCCCTGAGCTGTCTCTCCTGACCCTTTGAGTTAACCCTGAACATAGCCCAAAACCTCCTAGACCCTCAGTTTTCTCATCGTCCTTCCCCATAGCCAAAGCCTTCTTCTCCTCCAGGCCTCCCCTCAATGTCACCTCCTCTCAGAAGCCCTCCCTAACCACCCTGTCTAAAAGAGACCTCAAGAGTCCTTCACTCTCTATTCATCATTTGTTTTTCTTTCTTTCAATATGTCCTTTGTTTATTGAGGTGTAGTTGGCATATAGTAGAATGTACAGGTCTCAAGGGTCCAATTCAATGAGTTTTGATGATTGCACACACCCTAGGGACCCAAACTTCCATCAAGACAGAAAACATTCCTAGCTCCCCAGAAAGCTCTCATGTCATTGCCCTTTTCACTTCCTGTGCAGCACTTACTCACAACCTGCAATTAGCTTGTTCCTTTGATAACTCTTTTTTTTTTTTTTTTTTTTGAGACAGAGTTTTGCTCTTGTTACCCAGGCTGGAGTGCAATGGCACGATCTCGGCTCACCGCAACCTCCGCCTCCTGGGTTCAGGCAATTCTCCTGCCTCAGCCTCCCAAAGAGCTGGGATTACAGGCACGCACCACCATGCCCAGCTAATTTTTTGTATTTTTAGTAGAGACGGGGTTTCACCATGTTGACCAGGATGGTCTCGATCTCTTGACCTTGTGATCCACCCGCCTTGGCCTCCCAAAGTGCTGGGATTATAGGCGTGCCTTTGGTAATTCTTTAAGCAAACACACACATACAGATATTGTACTTCCAATGTGCCTGGCTCTGTTTGGGGTACTTTATAAACATTAGGAGGAAAGGACTTAATTATCACCACTTTTTGGATGAGAAATTGAGGCACAGAGAGGGGAAGTAACTGGCCTCGAATCACATGGCTGATCCCCCAGACAGGCCGATACCAGCAGCCTCCCTGATCAGACTGTGGGCCCACAGGGCGGGGCCAGTCTGCCTGGCCACCTCTGGGTCCTAATACTGGGGCACAGGGCCTGGTGCAGAGCACTGACTCAGGTTATAGTTGTAGATTTTTTTTTTTGGAGACATAGTCTTGCTCTGTCACCCAGGCTGAAGTGCAGTGACACAATCACAGCTCACTGCAGCCTCGATCTCCTAGGCTCATGCGATTCTCCCACCTCAGCCTCCCAAGTAGTTGGGACCACAGGTGCATGCCACCATGCCTGGCTAATTTTTTTTTTGTACAGATCGGTTTTATCATGTTGCCTAGGCTGGTCTCAAACTCCTAGGCTCAAGCCATCCTCCTGCCTTGGCTTCTGAAATGCTGAGACTACAGGCGTGAGCCACTGCACTTGTCAGTATTTGTAGATTTAATAAATCTATAGAGTAAGGGTGAGGGGAAAAAACTCTCACAACCCATCATGAGAACAAGATAAGATTAAAGGAGGCCCTAGTGAGGCTCAACAAATGGCAGACATGACAACCTGGCCAAACTTTCTCCCTGCTGCCCATGCGTAGCCTGTACCTCACCTACACTCTATGTTGAACCAGGCTTTACCTCGTCTTCCAGGGAGCCCACCATGACTACTCCAGTCCACAAGGCATTGCTGCAAGTTGGCCTCCTTCACATAGGTACATGACTCCACACTATTCTTCACAAAAGGTGTCCCAAAGTAAGAGCTCCATCTTCCCAGGCATGAGAATGAGCACAGGGTCAGGACACAGGAGGCCCAGGCTCTATCCCTATTCTTAGTATGACCTTAGGCCAGTCCCTTTTCCTCTCTAGGCCTCTATTTCCCCAATGTTAAGCTGTAGGGCTTAGGCTATACAGGGTAAAGAAGAGAAGAGAGCAACAAGGGGGACTTCTAGACAGGGGTTCCTTGCAAAGTGCCTACCATAGTCCCACTCCCATATCACTGCCCCCACGGAGGGCCTCTGGGTCCCCATGGACTCCATATCCACATGCCTAAGCCCACTGGGGGCTACCTGGAATGAGCAATGATGTCGTGGTTCCCAGTCACAGCTGGGAAGACAAGAAGATAGGAGGGGGCTGGGCACAGTGGCTCACGCCTGTAGTTCTAGCACGTTGATAGGTCAAGAGGGAAGGATCACCTGAGGTCAGGAGTTTGAGACCAGCCTGGCCAACATGTCAAAACCACATCTCTACTAAAAATACAAAAAATTAGCTGGGTGTGGTGGCAGGCACCTGTAATCCCAGCTACTTGGGAGGCTGAGGCAGGAGAATTGCTTGAACCTGGGAGGCAGAGGTTGCAGTGAGCCAATATCTCATCATTGCACTCTAGCCTGGGTGAGAAAGTGAGAGAAGAAGAAGAAAGAAGAAAGAAGAAAGAAGAAAGAAGAAAGAAGAAAGAGAAAGAAGAAAGAAGAATAAGAAGAAGAAGAAGAAGAAGGAGAAGAAGAAGAAGAGGAGGAGGAGGAGGAGGGGGGGAGGGGGAGGGGGAGGGGGGAGGAAGAGGAAGAGGAAGAAGAAGAAGAAGAAGGAGGAGGAGGAGGAGAAGGAGGAAGGGGACTTCTGACAACCCAACAGACCCCCACCCTTGCCTCACTCCTCTCCTATGTTCCCTGAGCTCCCCAGGGGTCCACCAGAGCTGGAGGGTCTGTGATGGCACTTGGGCAGTTACACAGCTCCAGCTAGTATCCAATAGGTGCACACACACACACACACACAAACACACACACACACACCCCTGTGAGGCAGAAACTGGGCTTCTTCCTGAGGAAGGGGATTACTGACTATGCGCCTGAGGTGTGGGTCCCCACTGAAGCTCAATGAGCATTGAATTTGAGATGACATTTCCTTTAATGAGTAACCTTAGGCCTCCAACTTTGATGTACTGGTTTTCACTTCCTCCTTTTCCCCTCATCCTCCTTTGCCAAATTTTCTCTCTTGCCCCCAGAGCCAGCAGCCAGAAGGCAAAGACCCCTACTGACTTCACGAGCTAGTGGGCTCCAGTAAAATTTGAGAGCAGAAGGGCCCGTGCCCCTCTAGCAACACCAGGTAGAATGTGGGGGCCTCAGAACAGGCCAGGCACCTCACTATTGCCACACTATGTCCCTTCTCACCCAAGGACAGGGCTTATTTGTGGGTAAAGGACTTCTTGAGTTCCATAGCTGGGAAAACAACAGCATCATTTGCCTGTTTGAAAAACAATTTGCAGTTTACACAACACTCTGCTGTCCCTTATCTCATGAGAATGCTTGGTGCCACCCTGTGAGGCAAGCAGGGTGGGAACCATTAGCCCCAATTTACAGATTGAGGAAACACAGGCTGGGGAGGATGAAGTCATTGCCCTGTGGCCACCTGGTTGCAGGATGGCAATGCTGCAGGAGGAAGGAAAACAGGACTGTTGAGAGAGAACCCAGACAAGCCCTCCCTGAGGGGAGATGAGAGGAGGGGGTGGCCCCAAGTTGGAGAGGCACTGGCCAAATCCACAGCTTGCAAAAGACTTGGGAAGTTTGTTCTGAAATAAATGCGTGCATCAGTGCGTGGGTGTGTGCATATGTAGGGGTACGAGGAGGGTACGTAGGGGCATGTGTGTGTGTGGGAACATCAGTGTGTGCATACATGCATACATCCATGTGTAGGGGTGTGTTCATGGGTATATGAGGGTGGGTGTGGGGGCCCATGAGCATATGTGTGTCTCCAGTCTCTGTAATGTTGACTTTGAACTTGCAGAGACCAGGATTTATCCATCTGTCCATTTGTTTATCTAATATTTTCTACTTCTCCAAAGTACCTAGCAGAGAACTGACCACAGAGAGCTGCTTAAGAAACACTGGGGGGTCTTATTGCCACATCTCAACTTGGGACAGCCTTGTGCAAGGTGACCAAGCCCAGATGCCTTCATTCAGACCTCCTCTCCCACTGGACCCCATCTTCATGGCAGAGCCTAACACTTCTTGTTACTCAAAACTAGAAAAGCACTCTGTCGTCCTAGAGATGAAACAAAGCTGGGATGTCCGCAGTGACTCTTGGAAACCAGTCCCCAACACCCGCCTCCAGCCACCTCCTCACCCAGGAAGGACACATGGATGGCCCCATCCGGCTCACCCCAGCGCTGGGCTCTTCTCAAGTAAAAGTGCCCACAGTATCTCCATCTGTCTCTCACATACAGGAAGCGCCGAGGCTACCAGCCTGGGCAAGCAGTTTGCCCACCACCCCCTGCAGCCAAACCCCAACTTCCATACCCCTGGCCAACTAACCTGCAGCACTGGCCAGGCTGCTCTGTGGCCTCTGCCAGAACACCCACTCTTTCCGGGGGAAGACAGCTGACTTATCTCTCCTATCAACGAGGCAGTAATAAATTAAGAAGCTGAAGCTCTGGCTTTTGTGATAACTCACAATATGAGAGACATCAACCCTACCAGAAAGGGAACTTCCTCCTGGAGGCCAGGGATCTAGTTCCTCTCACCATCCCTTGAGGCCTCCAAGCTCCATTATTTCTACAAGCCTTGCTTGTAGAAAGTAACAACAGTACTTTCAGACATTTTACAATTCTAAAACAAGACAGAAGCCAAATAAAAACAGCAGATTCTCTTTAGCATGAAGAGAAAGATAAAATGCACCAGAAACCCATGTAAGTTCACAACTATAAATGAGGAAAAGTTTTAATTCTGAGCTTCCTGGAGGTCTTGGCAAAGAAGGAAACCAGTTAGGCTCTGCTGCTTTTATTATCCCATGAAGAGGAGCACAGACATTCACTGAACATTTTCTAAGACGAGATTCTAAAAGGGATTTCACATCAAACCTTATATGGGAGAAGAGCTTCTGGCAACACTTTCAACAGCAATTTTGCAAAAGATACAGACAAACTTAAATGAACATATGTAATATGGATTTCCCCATGAAGACTGAAGCCAGCACATGGGCCTCAGCTATCGCCTGGCATGTGGGCTGGGAATGCTGGAATAACATCACCAGACCTTTATTTTCTTGGGATTCCAGCTTTGTTTTGTGCCGGAGGACAGAGAGGAGAGGAGCAGCAGGGACCAGCATGTCTTTCAACACCTTCTCTCCCACCTAAGGGTCTCATCCCAGCCTCAGGCAAAGGCAGGCCGGGATGCTGAAGATTACATAGCAGTAGCACATGCCTAACACCAAATCTCAGGCAGCAGAATTGTGGAAAATGTTATAGGGAAATTTAGTTTCATTGTGGGGAACCCCAATTCTTACAGAGGCAGGCCATGAATAAGACAAAGCACTCTGAACCTACCATACTCCCTCCTTGACAAGTCTTCAAGTCAGCCATCTCTAAGATCTCTCCCAGCTCCCAGTTGTATGATTATTTGGGATTATTTCCCAGGGGATCACATCTCAAATGATATGAGACACCACTGGAATAGCAGAATTCATTTTACAACCAGTTGTTGAAACCCCTGCCAGCGCTGCTGGCACCCGTGCGGGCCATTAACACACTCGGCCCTGCCAGCCAGTGTGACCCTTGCAGGCTGCTTTGCCCACTCAATGGGTCACAGCCTCAGCCTCTGCTCTGGGAGGAAGATGTCAGGATGGGACTGACCCTGAATTCAAAGTTCCAAAGCAGGCTTTTCCTTCTTAAGGCCTCAGTATCTTCCTTGCAATCCCAGAGCCCCACTACTGCCCCCCATGTCCTCCCTCTCCCTTCCCCCAAGGGCATCAGTGCTATTTGGAGAGCTGGAAGTAGTATCATATCTAACTTTTTAGCCACAGTTTCAAATCAGAGCTGCAGGCATGCACCATTATTCTCTCACACACTCATTTTCCCAGCTTTCATAGCTCATTAAGGGAGCTAATGGAAACAATTTTGCAGCTATGGATAAGTTGGCCTCCTGCCAGATGAGACCTCGCTTCATTAAGTTCTGACCACATCCTGTCCTCTGTCTCACCCTGTCCATTTACCTCTCCTCTTCAAAGGCTCGGTTCCAGAGAAGGGGGTGGCTCACGTGATACCACTGACCCCAAATGTCCAGGCTCCACCTGGGTGCTGAGGGAATGATGGAGTCAGGCAGGATTAGCGCTCCCTACATGACAACAGGCTGTCCCTGGTGCTGGGCCAGTACTGTGCTGAGGCCACCTCATACAGTGCTCACCATATCCCAACAAGCATCAGCAGCACCCTTCTACCCGTGGGGAAATGTCCCTCTGGGAGGTTAAGTGACTTGCCCAAAGTCACACAGCGGGGTAGTGAGAGTCAAGACTTGAACCCGGACCTGTGCCCTGCAGTGGGGACCATGTGACAGCTGCTTCATCCCTTTTCCATGCAGCTTCAAGGCTTGGAGTAGGCACTCATTCCCACAACACCGGCCTGGGGAAAACAAACTGAGAAGGCCCCACCACTCCTTCAGAGAGCTTGGCCCACACCCCTGGTCTGGACCAGGCCCTGCTGTTTGGTGGCTGTTACAACAATGGCAGCTGTTCACGGAGCCCCGCCCTATACCAGGCATGTCACACCCATTAGCTCTTGCCCTTCAACAACTGCATTGTTAGCTACCATTTTCAGATGAGGAAAGTGGGGCTCAGGGATGCTTTGTGGATTCTCTGGGTCACATGGTTTGCACATGGCTACCTCTGAGTCAGAGTTCTTTGGGAACCAGGATTCAACTTTCATCCTCAAGGAGGCCTGCCCATGTACAGATCCCCTCCCAACTCCTGCAAACTGGCCCTGTCTGGGGGCCGGGCCTGGGCTGGGACTGGGAATGCTGCCATAGGCACTCTGTCCTCAAGGATTTGGAGGTCTATGGATGAGTAGATTGCGATGCTTGACGAGGACATGTACACCTGGGAAAACTGGTCTTGGCTCCTTCCCTTCCCTTCTCCTTTCTTTCCAGAACCAGACCTGGCAGAATATGCAAGATGGGAAGGGCCAGCCCCTTCTGAGGGAACTCATGAGGAAGGAGGACTCCCGAACAACCACTCCCCTTCTGGGTCAAGGCCAAGACACCTGATGTGGGACAGGGTGGCCGCTGACAGGCTGGGAATCTCCATCTGACTACTTCCCACCAGAGTCCTGGGAGGGGAGGGAGGAGCTAAGCTTCCAGGTCTAGTGTCTTCTCAGGAAGCTCTGCTGATGGGACAGCTAACACAAATTTTAAAATCATCAAGTCTTAGGAAGGCAAGGTTCCTCTGATTTACTAAATTTTGATGGCCTTGGTCAGTCTGCTTCCTGCCAGCCCCAGACAACCTGGAAACAAAGGCTGAAATGCCTAGACTGGGGGATGGGAAGAATGAAGGGAAATGCTTCTAGAAAGAGGAACCTGAGGGAAGCTCCCAGGCAGGAAGAGGGAAGAACAGTGGGAACGTGAGTCCTTGCTGGGGTGGGCTAGGGGGTCCCAGTGCCCCAGACCAGGGACCACACACAACAGGACCAGCTGCAGCCACAGGGGTCCAGGTCAGACAGACCTGGATGCAGAAGCCAAGTCTATCCCCAACTCCCCTGTGGCCTTGGGCAGGCCATTCAGGCTTTCTGAGCCTCATGGGCCCAATCTGGAAAGTGGGGATGGTGCTAACACTCCTGTTCCCAGGGAGCCATGAGGAGGGGATGAGGGCACGTGCAAAGAGCTCAGACAAACACAGTGTCAGGTGCACACTGAAGGTGTTGAGGGGCCACCACAGCACAGGTAAAATCAGTCTCCAGGTTTGCTTGGGGACTCCTGGTTTCAGAATTCCCCTGGGTCTTCCTGAAATGGTCTTACACTCCTCCCTCCCTGTTTCCCAGAACTCAGAGAAAGCTAGGTGCAGCCTTGGGGACCCGGGGGAGGCAGAACCCCTCCAATCCAGCAGGTCACAGAAAATGGTCTCAGATTCTCAGCGGGGCAGGGCCAGACTCGGCTTTTCAAAGGTGGACCAAGAATCTTGAGTCTACGAATCCTGTTTTTCTGTGAAAGGCTCAGTAAGGAAGGAGATGACCCTCCAGGGTGGGGAGAAGGTGGCTGATCTCAGAGGAAGGACCTTGGGAAATGGGAACCACGGTTGAAAGGACAGAGACCCACACCAGGGAATTCACCCAGCTCTCAGGCTTGGCCAGCTACAGGAGGGGACCCATCCTCACTTCTTTGTGGCAGTCCCCCACTCTCCCAGGTAGCAGATACCTCTACACCCCTTACCACTCGCACAGCCTTTTGAACAATGTCCCTCCTGCAAAGTATGTGGCCCTGGCCAGTCCCTTCACTTTCCTGAGCCCTAGCTTGGATCTGTGAACTGGGCACCCACTCTCCTCCCACATGGCACCTGTGTTACAGGTGGGGAAAGAGGCCCAGAGACAGCTATGGCTTCCTCCCCTCCCCCAGAGGTTCTACAGTTAGAAAGTAGCAGGATTAGAACTCCCTCTACCCCTGACAGGTGTGGGATCCCAGCATTCTGCCCACGGCCTTCCCACAGAAGGCCAGGGGAGGCTGCAGAGACCACTTACGAGCCCCCTGAGTATATACTGAGAAGATCCAGGTTCTGGTATCTTCCTTTAACTTCAAAGAGGAAAAAGGAATTTTTGTATCAATATCAGCTACATAATCTGTGAAACTTTACCCTGGTTCTATTTCTTCTATGACAGTGTAAAAATAGGACATTTTCATCATAAGACTGGAACATTTTAGCTAATGCAAGTGTTTTGTAATCTCAGAAATAATGTCCCATCAGCGGTCTCTCTTTGTGAAGAGACCCCTCACCAGCCACGAAATATGTGCTCCCAACTGGCCAATTGTGTAGCAGTGATGCCCACATAGCTGGCACAGGGTTACAAAGGGCCGTGCAACCCTCCCTAGCTGGGGGTGGCCAGGGCAAGTGAGGTCATGCCTAGGTGACCCCTGCTGAAGCACCCAGCAGGCCATGCCACTGGCCAGCTCTGGAGAGAGGGGAACCAACACCCTCTAGCATTCAGAAGAATGACAGCTGGTCTCTCTTGCCTGGAGGAGACATCACAGAGATGACAAAGGAATTGGAAGTGGGTGTGGGAAGATGCACTGGCTCACCCCCATAGACATGGCACAGAGGCCCTAGGGAACCTTCCATCCCCACCCCCGACACTGACCTTCTACCTTATATCTGCTCAGCATCTCTCCCTCATCCTTTGGCTTCATTCACGTCCCTGCAGTTCTCCATACAGGCCTGGGTGAGCACAGGCAGCCATCTCTCTCCTCAGACTCCTCCCAAAAGTGGCAGGGGCACTGGCTGTCCAGGCTTCTAGTTTCCCTCTGTCCTGGTCCCTATCCCTTCCTGCTCAAGTTCAGCCAGATGGCTCCCAAGGCATCAACACCCAGCTGGCTCCCGGAAGGCTTCCCTAGTCTCTGATCACACCGTGGAGCCATAGCTATGAGGAAGAGGGGGAGGCCATGCCCTCTAGGGGATCAGGGTGGTGGCCTGGCAGCTCTGAGGGACACTGCTTGTTCCTGCCATGGGAATAGCTGCAGTGACTCACTCCCTGTCTCCTGGGCCTGCCTAGAGTAAGGACACACCCTGGTGCTGGCTCAGCCTGACTCAAACACTTAATTAGGCCATGAAGTACAGCAGAAGGGGTCCCGAACCTGAGTCATAACCCCCAGAGCTCCTGTCCCTGGCAGAATACAGCCTGTGACGGTGGCATCACCACAGCCAACTGTTCCCCCTGACAATACCATTTGCTGACTGGCATGGGAGAGGCATCCTGGGGCACCCTCTGACCAGTCTCCATGCTATCCACTTGCAAGAGCTGCCCCAGCAGTGGGCAAGGCAGGTCCCCCCAACCTACCTGCTTCCCTGGCACTGCCCATGGTCACTGACCACCTAACATGTCTGCACAGTCAAAAGGAAGGCCTTGACTAAGCAGAACACCCAGGCCCTCTTTTCTTTAATTTTTTTAGACAGAGTTTTGCTCTTGTCACCCAGGCTGGAGTGCAATGGAGCAATCTCAGCTCACTGCAACCTCCACCTCCCAGGTTCAAATGATTCTCCTGCCTCAGCTTCCCAAGTAGCTGGTATTACAGGTGTGTGCCACCATGCCTGGCTAATTTTTTTTTATTTTTAGTAAAGATGGGGTTTCACCATGTTGACCAGGCTGGTCTCGAACTCCTGACCTCAGGTGATCCACCCGCCTTGCCCTCCCAAAGTGCTGGGATTATAGGCGTGAGCCACTGCACCTGGCCCAGGCCCTCATTATGCAGATGAGCAGACTGTGGCTCCTGATCCCCAGTGGAGCTGGCACACACGGAAGAATGGCTGAGAGCCAAGCCTGGGTTCCAGCACAGGGCCATGTCCCTACTATGTGACCCTGGGTGAGTTACTCTGCCTTTCTGAACCTCAGTCTCTGCATCCATGACATGGGGTTGATAACCCATTCTGATTCTGCCATGTTTGTGCCTGGCACGTAGGAGGTACTCAGCAAGTGGGTGCCTTTATTTCCATCCCCCCGTCCTCTGTGCTGCTGCCTGCCAGAGAACACAGAGAGCACCTGCTAGTCCCTCTGCCACATCCTGAGAAGGGGGCTGTAATGTTAAATGAGCATCTATGGATGAGCTATGGGTCCCTTGTAGAGGCTGAACCCTTAGGAATGGGACAACGAGTGTGGCAGCTCAAGGTCCTGGTCCCTCAGGCCCCTGAATGTAGCCTCTGAGCCTTAGCAGGGTAAGGATGGTCAGGTGCAGGGTGCTGGCTAGAGAGTCTGGAGTGTTCACCCCAGCTAGCCAGGTGCAGCTCACACTCAGTTCTGCCCTCTGTAAAATGGAAGCAGGTTACACCTCACAACTTAGCCCTCCCAGACTCCTACCAGCTCCTCTGGCTGACTCTAAGACTCTGACTCAGGTCAGAGCTCAGCCCCATCCATCCCTGATTGTGGCCAAGGAACCCTTGGGGGTCATACTGTGCCTGGTTCTACACCATTGTCCCAAGCAAAAGTCTCAGACCATTGGACTGTAAAAGGAGACACAACAGCAGAGACTGCAGCTGAAGCTGACGTCCCACAAGCCATGGGGTTGGTGGTGGGGGACCTTCTCAGGTTACAGCTCAGCCCAAGAACTACTGACTCCACTGTTCTGACTGCCAAGGCTGCTGACACTTGGTCAAGGCGGGCAGGAGGAGGGGACACTGAGTGACATGGGTATAGCAGGCCCTCCTTCTTCCTGCCCAGCCCCCACCTTCCCCTGGCGTGGTGGCGGGGGAGTAAGCTGCAGCTTGACCAGGATGAATCCTCAGCACCTGACCTGACCCTGCTCTGTCCTCTGCCTGCCCTCAGCCTGCCGGACTGCAGAGAAGAGGCCTTCAGGCCTGAAACACATGAGACAGGTAGACTGGCAAGGCCCACAAGGGTGGGACAGAGTGACAGCAGGAAGAACAGGTGAAAAGAAGAAATGAGAGGGACAAGCAGGCAGAGGACAGGAAGATCACTAGTGTCACGAGAAGGCAGCAAAGACAAACACTGAGTCTAAAGAAATAGGCAACCCTAATCCCAAACCCGCCTCAAAAACAAAAGCCATCTTTTCAGCATCTCCCGCCTGTCCAGTGCTGAAAGGGCCTCCCAAGGCTCCTTGTTCACTGAACTCCTAGGAGCCTCATGTTCCTGCTCTAAGCAAAACCTCCACAGTTCCCACACAGCAGGATTTTAATCACAATGGCACAGGGCCTAATCTACTTAGTTCCAAAAGGGCAGGAGGGTGGGGAGGAGCCCAGGACCCAGAGCTCCCTGCACACCATTCTTTCCTGTCCCTCAAGGGGCTGGCGTCCCCAGGTGCAGGGCGAACCCAAGTGAGTCCTCATAAAGAGCAATAATGTTTCACCAGCAAATGCATCCAGGCCCCAAAGGAGCCCTGCCATCTGAGAGTGTCTGCTGGCCTGTGTTGTCACATAGCATGAATGCAGGGATAGTAACAGTCACCAAAACTGGATCCCACTCCCCGCCACATATTCAAACTCAGGGTTCAACTATGCCACAAAGATGATGGTTTTGCAAAGGATTATGAAACTACCTTTTGTCCGAAGTCACTTGGGGAGAATGTGGCAGAAAGGATTTTAAGCCTAGAGCTCTGGTCCTCTCTGAACCCCAGGTGGGGCCTCTCATCTGGGACCACACAAGATCTCAAATAGATGGAGGGAGAGCATTAGAACTAAAGTTCTCCTGGGAAAACCCCAGCGCTCGCAGGATGGTCTCACTATCCTGCGAGCAGCAGAGCCAGCTCTCTAGGAAGCGCTCAGTGTGCACTCTCACGGCACGGTTCTGCTTGGAATGCCCCTCTCACCTAAGGATGTCCTCAGCTCTTACCTGGGACTTCACCATTAGACATGGCAACCTGGAGCCAAGGGAGGTTGGGGGCTTACAAAACCAGATGTTCCAACCACTGCCTCCACGCAGGGGTCTCTCATGATGATGTCCCCAGTAGAGGAATATGAGGGATCTAACTCTACTTCCTCAAGTGTGAAGCTCAGAAGAGATATAACAGACTTGTTGCAATGAAAACTGGGTCCTTCCCACACAGTCTGAACAATAGCCCAGTTGACCCAGAAGTCCCTGCAGCACCCTCAGCAATAGTGCTCTACCCTTCAAGGCCCTACACAAACACCTCTTCCTTTACAGATTCCTCCGGTCCTTCCTCAGCTTCCCAGGCTTTGTCAGGACTTTGACACTGGCCCTACTGAGGTCAACCGCATCCTGCCAGAACACAGGTCTGCGAGCAAGAAACTGGTACTCCACAGCAGATGCTGAGTGTCTAAACACACACACACACACCCTGTGCCTTCGTCTGTCATCCACATCCTTCTCAAACCAGAGGTCTGAATTAAACTGGCAACCGCTTCCAAGAAGCCTCTCCTAGCTGGCCCAGCCCAGATAGTTTCCACTCGCCCACTCACCAGTCTGACTTCCTGCCCACAGTGCTCTGGGCTTTTCTTGGCTGCACTTGTCTGAGACTCACAAGGCCTGGAAAAAGGCACACCTTTCTGAGGTGGCCTCTACAGACATCATGGTCCTTGTGTGCTGGCCTCATTGGACTGCCGCCTGTCCAATCACTGGCATAGAGTTCCATACAGTGGGGAGAACTGGGCAGATGTAGGCAGACACTGGCAGTAACTCTCAGGGCCCAGCTGGGGCTGCCAGGGCTACCAGTGGAGCCAGAGAGGACAATGCCAACATCCTTCCAAGGGTCAAGTCTCAGAGACCCTCCTATGTCCCCACAGATTTGCATGAGGAGAGAGATGACTTAGCTGCTAGGACGCCGGCATCAAGCTGCCTAGGCTCGCGTCTCAGCCCTCCTTCCCACCAGTTGTGCACTTTGGGCAAGTTGTTAACCTCTGAACCTCATCCATATAATAGGAGTGATAAGAGTTAGATAACTCATGCTGTGCATCGTTGTGCACTGCGGACAGGGCCTGCCAGGCAGAATGCTCTGAAAAACTGTTAGCCATTTATGTGAGTATCAGGATCCACAGCACCAAGGCCTGAAGCTTGGAGAGCTGACATCAGCTCCTAGATGGGATGGGAAAAGATCCTAAAAGACCCAGCAGAGAGTGATCCTGAGAGAAGGCTGGGAGTGCAGCTTCAAAAACAGTAAGCAAGGCCAGCCAGGCATGGTATGAAGCATCTCAGAACAATCAACGTCTGCCTAAAATTCCTCTATTTGCATTTTGTAGGGTTTGATGCCCTCCTCAGGATCCCCATGAAAAAGGAAATTGCCCATCCCTGGCAGTTAATACTCCAGCTCCTCAGACTCTTTTCTTCCAAGTGAGGAGCAGCGCTGGGAGAACCCAGGGGGCAGGGACTCTGTTATACTGGGCTGCCAGTCCCACCAGGTGCCTCCTGATTTGTTGACTCTAACAAGTGGCCCTGCAGAGGCTGATGTGACCAGTCTGGAGATGGTAGGTGAGGGGTTGGTGGCTGCCAAATGAAAAAGGGCCTGGCCTGCCTGGCAGCTTCACCCAGCTTCAAATCCAGCTCGACAGCACCAGTCCCAACAGGCCAGCCTCACCCATGGAACAGTGGGCACCATGCCCTCAGGGAGGGTGAGGCATCCAGGGTACTGGGCTCTGGATCCACTGCTTCCCAGTCTCTGCATCCATTACGTTCTATCTTCCTTTCAGCATTCTGGTTATACAGAGTCCCTCTGTCTACTAAGAGGTGCAGACTGGACAGCAGGCAGAGAGCAAAAATGGTCTCATGAATGGGTATTTCCTTTCTCCCAGGAATTCCCCAAGAGGTCTGTTGGGGCAGTGGAACTCTTAGATTCCATTGTGAATTCCCAGACCTTAGAAGAGGAGAAATAGCATTTTTCTGTGGCTTATCTCTGAGCTGGAATCAAAGAACCCCTCTCCTGTGGAGAAAGAGTAACCTGGAAAAAGTCCAGCTCTTGATGCTCCTTCCAAAGCTCAGAGAGGTCAGAGCCTGGTTATTTTCATAAGCATTCATGAGTCCCTGATATTGCCAGGTTTTGGGCCCAGATACTGTAAGGGAGATTTGAGTCAAAGGTAGGTATTATGGCTTTAGGAGTCAAAAAAGATTGCATTGCCCCAAAGCCAGGAACTCTGGGCAGCTTCCTAGAAGAGGTGACACTGGGGCTGAGTCTTAACAGATGGGAAGAAAGTCCTCAGTGCTGGAGAAGGAAAGATGTCACCTAAGGTAGAAAAGCGAAGTGGGCTGGACTGCAGAGGCTTCGAATGCCACAATTAGAGCCTCAGAACTATACAGTCAAATCCCCAAATCCCTGTGTAACCTCAAATCCCTGTGAGATCCTCTCCTCAGGGTCTCCAGAGTTTACTTTCCCATCTGTCAGGAGAAATATGCCCTCTTCTGTGTTGTGCTTTGAGGCATCACTGAGATACCACAGGCAGAGCAGCCTGGGTCCCGGCAGCCATCTGGCATCAAGGGGAAGGAAACTGTCCCAGAGACAGCAGCCCCAGCAACCTCCCCGGATTCTGGGAACCAGAAGGAAGATGCTTGCTACAAAGACTTGACCCAGAGGACTCTGCAGGGGTCTCCTGGATATGTGGATCCACCACCCTACCATTCCACTTTCCTTAACAAACAAGGGACGAAGAGGGCACTGGGAGCCCAGAGGAGGTTCCAACATGCTCTAGGGGTCAGAGGGGAAGGGCCCCCAGCCCTACAGTCTAGAACACAGGGGCAGGAAAGAAGACTCTACCTGCAGACCCCATTATGTCTCCATAGGGCCTTTTATTACTTTTCTTTCTTTCTTTCTTTCTTTCTTTTTGAGATAGGGTCTCACTCTGTCACCCAGGTTGGAGTACAGTGGTATGACCAGAGCTCACTGCAGCCTCAAACTCCTAGGCTCAAGCAATCTTCCCACCTCAGCCTCCTGAGCGGCTGGGACTACAAGCATGTGCCACCACATTTGGCTAATTTATTTTTACTTTATTTTATTTTATTTATTTATTTATTTTTGAGACAGAGTCTTACTCTGTCGCCCAGGCTGGAGTGCAGTGGCATGATCTCAGCTCACTGCAACTTCCACCTCCTAGGTTCAAGAGATTCTCCTGCCTCAGCCTGCTCAGTAGCTGGGATTACAGGCACCCACCACTGCGTCCAGCTAATTTTTGTAATTTTAGTAAAGACGGGGTTTCGCCATGTTGGCCAGGCTGGTCTCGAACTCTGGACCTTAAGTAATCAGCACCCCCTTGGCCTCCCAAAGTGCTGGGATTACAGGCATAAGCCACCGCACCCAGTCCTAATTTTTAAATTTTGTATAGACATGGAGGTCTTACTATATTGCCAGGACTGGTCTTAAACTCCTGGATTCAAGTGATCCTCCTGCCTCATCCTCCCAAAGTGCTGGGACTACAGGCACGAGCCATCGCATCCAGCCTATTGCTTTTATTTAGAGATTCTAAGTGTCATGGTCACTTCTGCCTGCTAAGAGGCCAAAGCAGGAAGTCAGGAAGGGAGAAAATTCTGGCTTCTGCTATACCCCCCACTTCAAGCCATGTGACTTACTTTGGGTCCCAATTTTCACATGTGATAAAGTTTGAGGGCTGGGTCTTGGATGTGGTGGGGTAACTGATGTGTGACAAATCTGCAGGGCTGTGCCCAGTCAGAGGTAAAACTGAAGGGTACTAATTAACTAGTTAAGCCTGGGAGAGGGCACAAGCAAGAGGTCAACAGGAGGAGCAGAAACTGGAGGACTGCCTGGCCCATACACCCTCTCCAAGAAAGGCTGTCCTCCAGTTCCTGCCAAGAGGACAGCAATGAGTGCTTGGGGTAGAATGGAGTAGAATGGCTGCACTGGCAGCAGAAGGTGGCCTTGGGAGGGAGCCACTGGGTATGACCGAGGCCAAGAGGAACCAAACAGGTGGTCAGGGGCTAAGGGAAAGCGGAAGAGGTCCAGCTCCCTGGGAGGGAGGGACCTGCTCATCTAGGGCCTCCACAGAATAGCAATAGTTACAGGGATAGTGGCCACAGCTCTTCCTGTTTTATGAGTGCTTGCTGTGTTTCAGGCTTCCTGTTAAGCACTATCTGCCATCTTGGGCAATAGAGCCAAGAGGATGAGCATGATACAAAAGGGCAGAGATGGCCTGAACAAGTTCAGGTTTTAAGACAAGGAAAGGCCAGCCTAATACCCTGGTAACCAGGGAGGCAGAAAGACATGGAGCCCATGACTGTTGCCTAGGCTGAGCTGGGGCAGCTGCAGGGAGAAGGCTAGGAAGATGCAAGGAGACGTTTGTGACCCATCATGAGCTGGCTAAGCTCCCTAGGCCCAGGCCTGCCCATGTACTGAGGTTCCTAGGTCCTGGCCCTCCTGGGCAATGGGCAGAAGCTATAAGTGGGGAGGTGCCACCTCCTCCCTCATGGCCACAGCTACCACTCACAGGACAGGTAAAATGTCTATAACAGAGGTTATGCTAGCCCAATATTGGGAGGTAGTAAATGTCTACTTAGCTGGATAGAAACTTCTAGGCTTGGTCACTAGGGATACTAAGAACAGGAAGGTCCTGGAGTGGGAGCCCATCTAATCCATGTCCCCTTTGAGGGCCAATTTAGGGCCAGATCCTGAAGGTCCCAAGCTAGTAGCCCCAGCCATGCTCGCCCATAAAGGGGTACAGAGGGAAACCCACTCCAGGCCTGACCCAATTCCCAGTCCAGAACAAGGAGACCACTGATGAGGTGCTGTAGAAGTTCTTGCAGTCAGAAGTTCCCCCAAGTCACTCATCAGAC